TATATGCCAAAATAGGCCTACATATATATTTGTTACTAACTTTTATATTTGTTTGATATTAGAAAGAGCGTGGAGACAATTTATTATAGTGTATATTTCCAGCGAGACGGCTATGACAACTCAGAATCAAAACAACTCATAACTGAAAAATTTAGTTATATGATTTCACATATGAAAATAATTACAGATGGTCTGCCGGTAGAATTTTATAAACTTTTCTGGTGCGACATAAAAAATTCTTAGTAATTTTGGAGGCCAATATCTTTGCTTAATGTAGATTACAAAATATTAGCCCAAAAAATTGCCACACGTATGAAAGAAGCATTGCCAAACGTAATTACTTCCGACCAAACTGGGTTTCTGAAGGGTCGTTACATCGGGGAAAATATCAGATTAGTACTTGACGTAATTAAAAATGCAAAAGATAAGTGTCTGAATAACCTGCATTTATTTGTAGATTTCGGAAAAGCTTTTGATCGTTTGAATTGGAAATTTGTTGAAAAAGCACTGGACAAATTTGGCTTTGGTGAGGCTATTAAAAGATGGTTCACAGTAATGTATAATGATATCTCTAGTTGCGTAATTAACAATGGTTTCACCTGCAATTATTTTAACCTATCAAGAGGGCTAAGACAGGGCTGCCCGCTATCCCCTTATCTATTTATATTATCTGCAGACATTTTGGGTCTGTCAGTTAGACAAGACAAGTGTTTCAAAGGCATCACATTTAAAGGTATTGATATCAGAATAAACCAGTTAGCAGATGATACAGTGTTTTTTTTAAAGATGAAAAACGCTTAATACGGCAATAGAGATTCTTGATAAGTTTAGTAAATATTCCGGTCTTCGTGTAAATTTTGACAAAAGTAACGTTCTTAGAATTGGCTCCTTTAATAATACCAACTTTAAAGTCGAATGTAACAAAAATATTAATTGGACAGATGGGCCTATAAAATACCTGGGAGTACACGTTTCTGGGAACAGTGACCAATTATTTGGACTAAATTTTGAAAGCGCAATTAGACAAAATAGGCAATGTTCTTAGAACATGGAAAATACGAAATCTATCCTTAATTGGAAAAGTTATGATATTAAAGTCTTTGGCTTTACCGATTTTATCGTATAACTTTTCAAATCTACCAACACCCTCTACAGAATTTATCAACAGAGTACAAAATATGTTTTTTGCTTTCCTTTGGGATGGAAAACCGGATAAATTAAGAAGAAAAACTTTATACAATAAGTTGGATAAAGGAGGTTTAAAGATGCCACATATACTAAGCTATATATATTCTCTCAACATTTGTTGGATTAAGCGTTACCTTGATGGAAGTGATGCAAAGTGGAAAACATCTTTACTTCTGAATTACAATCTATCGGTGGAAGAAATATCTTCACATGCAATTTTTCTAATAAGTCCGGTATTCTTAACCAATTATCTGGATTCTATAAAGATGTATTATCAGCCTGGAGTGAATATCACTTTTTACCTAACCCGGATACTGCAAATGAGATTTGCAGTCAAGTTTTATGGAATAATTGTTGTTTTGTTAATAGAGCTTTTAAAATTCAAAGTCACTGGTGGAATGCTGGTATTCGCACAATAAAAGATATAACAAATAGCGAGGGGTCTTTCCTTCTACAAAATGAGTTAGAATCCAAGTATCAAATTAAAATTGATTTTCTTCTGTATAATGCAATCCGGCATTCCGTCCCAACGACTTGGAGAATTAAACTCAAAGAAAATCCGAAAATATCTAATGAATGCGTTGATATTTATAGGTGTGAATCTGTTTTTAAATGCAAAAAAACTTGTAACAATGTGTATCATTCCATTGTGGAGCGTATTGGTACTGATGTAAGTGAAATAGAACAAAAATGGTCCGATATGGGTAAATTGAACATCAAAAAAAAAATTCTGTGTACTTCACAAACTGCCAATCGACAATAAAATTAAAGTTTTTCAATTCAAATTTATGCATAGAATCGTTTTCACCAATGTAAAATTGTTTAAGATTGGTCTGGTAAAGTCTGAACTATGCTCTTTCTGTAATAAGGAAAAAGATCATCTCTTACACATGTTTGTTGAGTGTAGAATCAGTCTTCCTTTGTGGGAAACTACTAAAGTAATTAATTTTGACATAAAAGTTTCTGCTTTGGAGTGCCTTATTTACCACCAATTGTTAATTCTTTCATATTGTTCACTAGATATTATATCTATAACTGTAAATTACAAAATATAATTCCTCATTTCAAGGATCGAAAACTCAGACTAGAAAAATAAAAAGATGTACTCAGACTCTTGAATTGAATCTCCCTACTGTATTGTAAACTCAATGGCATGCTTATTATTATTTCTTCTGTTTTGTTATTGCTGTTGTTGGTATTATTGTTGTCATTATTATCAATGACAACAATGATGGTAACAATAATAATAATAATTTGTTTTTCATGTACAATTGTATTGTATTATATTGTTATGTCTTTTTTATTAAGGCATTTTATTGTTATTTTTTCTGTTAAATGTTATGAATATATTATGCATGAAAGAAATAAATAAAAAATAAAAAATAAAAAAAATAAAAAAATGAAAATAATTACTGATACCAAACAGAGACACCTGAGTTAATCCATTAACTCTCCGAGCCTCTGGCTGAATGTGACTATTTACACATAGGAACACGTTTGGCATTTCTCCAAAATTCATATCTACTATACAAATTTCTATTTAGCCTCATTATTCATTTTCTTTGAATCGTGCATCTCTGACACTCAGTTCAACGTTCAACTTCTTGATTGTCTACCTTGCTCGATATCTTATATTCGATGCTTTATGAAATGCTTAAGGCCAACTCAAAGTTGAATTGTCAAAAACTATTTCTAATATATATATATATATATATATGTATATATATATATATATCTAGTAAATATATAAAATAACAAATAGTAATGATAAAACAGAACAAATGCGCCATCTATCTAGCGTGCTATTCCGAGGCGGAGTAACTCTTGAAGGAAACAAAAAGTATTTATTTATTTGATATATCTGATAGTACTAGTTTAGTGACATGAACTCAGTGAGTGCTTTTGTACCGGCTCTTGGAACATACAGGAATACAAGACAAGTAAATAATCAGGCAGTTGGTCGCACACGCATATAAATGCTACGTCACAACATTAGTTGAAGCGAACATTAATCGTATAATCGTATAAAGTAAAAATTGTGTCTGTAAGCATTCCAAATAAACAGTGAATAGAATGTAACAAGCTTGAGGTCAACGTCATCATTGATTTCTCTGTATTTACATTTACCAAATGGCTCAAGGCTCAACTATGTTATACTTTTAATCACCGTGATGCCGACGATACACAGCAGATTTATGTGCTTCCCCTTTATACTGAATAGTCTTAGAACTTTTAATTATTTAGTAAATTCTTGCTTTATTTTACCTTTATTGATTCTTTTTTTCTAGATCCCGTTCAAAATTCTTAAGATGATTACGTATGATATTGATCTCTGTTAATTTATGTGTATTGAAAACTAGTGATGTTTAACAACGCATGCGAAACGGTGTGTGAACAATTAGTTGCTTAATTTGGATTCGAAGTCCCATAAGCCCAATTGGTTAAGGTGTGTGCATAGACGGTAAAAGGTTCTTCAGGAGGTCCCATTTTGCTGAACATTCTTCTATCACAAGTCAAATACTAGCGTTTTATCCGCATACAGAGTGTGAGATAAAATGCCTTCAATATAGGAATCGGATTCAAACTTCCAACGAAAACGCCCACTCAGTGGCCCAATTTGTTAAGTGCGCGCATAGACATAAGATCCCGGGTTCGAATCTCTGCTTTACCACTGATATACGGTAATATGAGATTATTAAACATTCTTTGGTATAATATTTTAATATCATTTCAGATTCAACGAGTGCTTTAAAATCAGTCAGGCTGTGTTAGTCTATGATGACGACGTCAATGAATCAGATATGACTTTCGTACAGAATCTAATGCCAGAATTATCACCGCTGCAATACATCAGTGAATTTCTTTGGGGAACATTCAATACAAGGGATTGTCACATTCAATCATACTTTCGTCATGTGCATCTACCTTCTAGGCAACGCACATGCGCAGTAGTTGCTAATGGTGGAATTCTCTTAGGCAGCAATTGCGGAGATGAGATAAACTCGCACGACTTTGTTTTTCGTGCCAATCTCGCTCCTATTCAAGGCTTTATTAAAGATGTTGGCTATAAAACAAACATCACTATGCTTAATTTCGAATCATTAAGCAGAATTTACAGAAACTTTACAGAAAAGTCTACTGACAGTAAATTAGATAGGCCTGCTATTACCGATCGACTTCAATTTCTCAACGACTCGATCTTATGGTTTGGAAAAAGCATGCAAAGACAGGAAGCAAAATTAAAATTTAAAAAAGTGATAGAGGTTTTAAGGCAGGGGTATCGATTCCCTATCAGAGTGGCGTACAGTTGGAAATCAATTTCAATAGAAAGGTAAGTAAATGTTAGATGGAACGATCAATCAGTTCCTAAACACTTTTTACGTGACGTTTATTATGCACGATGCATCCATGTTCAGGAATGAAAAAATAAAATAATACAAGTTGAAAAGAAACTAATATTTTTAAATGTCACTTAACATGTAGTATTGATATCATAATATGGATTAAATTAATGAACATTTATGTAATCATTTCATTGTAATTATTTCAAAGTGTTACGAGTTATTTTAATGTAGGCAGATGTACATCGGTAATAAAAACATTAGATAATTAAAGCAAGGCCATGCCAAGAACAGACCCGATATGTTACCTAAATGAAGGTTGGTAGTGGGATTTGTTTTAACCAATTTATGTTGCAGATTGATTTCATTCTATTTCGGTCTAAGTTTAAATTGACTGATACTTAATAATTTTAATTTAATTATTATTAATGTATTCGAAGGAAACGGAATCTAGACCAAATTATAAATGTCGTCTTCGTTTATCGTAATACGCATTTATGGAAATATATATTTTAAAATGAAATATTGTCTAAATTCGATGCCATCATTGTCAAGCTATCAAAATGCAAAAACAATGCCCTCGGGCTGACCACATTTTGAAAAGTTTCTTTTTGTATTCATATAATTGTTAGATACTGGAACTTGCAGCACCATGCAACGACGGGCTTCAATATATATTCAGTAGCAACTCAAATTTGTGACAACATCGCCCTCTATGGATTCTACCCATTTAGTGAACTTGAAGACGGCAGTGGTTTGCAACATCATTATTATGACGATGTGAAATATTTTTTCTACCGGAGTCACGTGCACAATATGCCGTTAGAATTTTCGAAATTACAGCATGACGCAAAAAAGGAAAACATTCGACTTATAACAAAAAAATGTAAATAAAACATTTATCCTGATCAATTCTTATTAATATTAAATTGTATCGTTTTTTTTTGTTTACGTTATATATAAATAGTCAGTGGCAGAACCTAAGCCTTATACATCAATTAACAGGAAAAATCAATCTGTTTTATACCTGTAATTTCTTTACAAACAACAACTTAACTCTCGTCGTATCATGAGCGCGTACACGTCACACATAACTTTGAAATAATATAAAAGTGAAAAAGCCACCGTTACATTAAAGCCTTTGAGCGTTCTATTTATTATTTTAAAGAAAATAGCGGCAGAAAAAAAAATACCACCCCCCCCCCTCCACCCATAAATTATATATTTTCCTCACTTATTATCAAAATAACATGCAGGAACATATTGAATAGCGCTCCACGTCCGTTCTATAAATAGAATGAACCCCTTTTATTAATTTAGAGTTGTAAGACTTCACAAGTTTCATCTTTCCCCAAAGACTTGTATGCATTTTCACCTACACTCTCGTACAAACTTCCCCCGTTGCCATCCGTAAACCCGGTTTTCCACAAGGCGAATTTATTCGCGCGAATCTAAGCGTCGGTTCGCTTCCTGACCTCTGATTGGTTGCGCATTTTTTCGCTTCGCAAAAACCTGATAGAAATGTGAATGCGCATGCGTATGAACCGACGCTTTCGATTCGCGCGAATAAGTTCGCCAAGTGGAAAACCGCCTTTACTCCCAATTCAAATCTCTTCTTAAAACTTCCCTTTTCCATAGTTCATACTTTTTAAGTGCTTTGAGACTCCGTTAAAGAGCGGTATATAGCTGTATAAATGCTCAAATATTATTATTATTATTATTATTATTATTATTATTATTATTATTATTATTATTATTATTATTTTTATTATAACTTTGAAATAGATTTTTTTTTAAATCATTACAATACTTACATCGGCGAATTAGGCTTAACTGACATTATAACACACCTTTAATTACTCCACATTTTCCCGTCGTATTATTGTATTGTCCACTCGCTGCCTCATAAATTTGTAACACACAAAAGCATTAAGTTAATCTAATTAATAGTTATACACTATACCCGTGACTATACAGATCCAGGTGGCTAAACGTTTATCGAACTAACGGGCTGTAGCGAATTCGAAAGTTCATTATAAAGTGCATTAAAAATTCTGTACAGTATTGAAGTAGATGCTAGAATAAATGGCTAGCTAGTGTGGTGTCAGAGAAGCGCGTGATTACCTTTAAATGATACAGAACATAATGTATGATGATGATGATGATGAAGATGATAATGATGATGAGAATGATGACTGACGATGATGATGATAATAATGACGATGATAACAAAGTTGATGATAATATTGATGGTGATGAGGATAACGATGATGATATTAGCCAGTCATGGAAGTGTTCATAATATTGCCTTAGACCTATATAACATTAAGGTCTTTTCGCCAAAATGTTTTAAAAGGAAAGCAATTACATAATAGGCCTAAGTGTTATTTTACCTGATAGTAAATATTTCTTCCAAGCGGATATAGTAACTGTGTTTATTGATAGACTTAGATGTTTAAAGTTGATCACACGCCCTGTGTTTTCACTATTCTTTTTATACATTAATGCAGAAGTCAATCGCATTCTTATAATCCCCCCAGTTAGTAGGCCCAGATAATGGACATTTCCGCTAAGTCCCGCCTTATATTGTTGCTAAAACAATGGCGTAAATGTACGTAAACACGCGCGTTTGTTGGGCAACACATGTGTTTGTAGGACGCGCGCGTATTCCTGGCCCTTTCCTGATTGGTCAGTTGTTAAGTTTGATTGACACTGCGGAAAGATTCATTCTCAGAGGATTTGTTAGTCATGCTGGATATTGTAATGCACAAGCTAAAGCCATTTCACAAGGATGGTCCTTTATCCATTAATGCGGCGTTGCAATACACGAGTTAATCGCCGGTATGGTATTGTTTCGAAGCTAAAGTAAAACACTTTAATTTATGTTTACAGATTGAGTTTTTGCATGTATCGGTACTTGTTTTATTATTATTTTTGTTTTATTATTATTATTTAGTAGTATTAGCAGTAGCAGCAGTAGTAATAGTAGTAAAGGTAGTTCTCTCAAATAATAATAGTTCAATCAATCAATTAACCTTAATTCGGAATTTCCTCCATAATAAATGCATACAGGAAAGCATAAATAATACACACACAGAGTACACTACTCTGTATAACATTTATTCACACATAAAAGCATTTCAGAAGGCTATAAAAGCTGAAATTAAAAAAAAGAAAAGTACACTACTCTGTATACAGAATGTACTTTTAATATAACATTTATTCAGACATAAAAACATGTCCGAAGGCTATAAAAGCTGAGAAAACTGTATAAACATTAAGAAAATTCACCAAATTGAAACTATTCATAAAAATGGGAAGTTCCCAAAAAGCAATAGTGTACACGTACCTATGTAAACGTTCATTTGTGGCACAAAACCTGCGTTTGTAGGACGTGACACGCGCGTATTCTTGGCCCTTTTCTGATTGGTCAATTGTTTAGTTTGATTGACATAGAGGTATATTACATTATGCACTATATAAATTGACAATTATTATTATTATTATTATTATTATTATTATTATTATTATTATTATTATTATTTATTATTATTATTATTATTATGAAAGGTCCATTAGACAAGAACGACGCGTGTCATTCGCTATATCCATCAGGAAGACATTGACAGAGGCAGGTGTGTTGTATAATCGAAACAAATACCACAAATTATGCCACATCCGACACTTGTTTATATGACGATTGATGTATGTTTGAAGTTTATAATCTTATAGAGAGTTTGAATAGACGATATTAATTGATTATATTTCGCTCTGTTATCTGGAAAATATTTTGTCGACCATTCGTAATTCTCATCTTATCCTGTCATATCCTAAGTACCGTAATTTTGCATTTTATTAGTCGTCAGTGCCTTTTTAAACTTACCGCAGAATAGCATGAGGGGCCTAATTTGTAACATGATTGAATTTTAGTATTCATCTTTACGTACGTAATTGGGGACCACGCAAATAAAGGACAAGGTTAGCACGTAGGGCGCACGTCACACCAAATGTATTTTACTGAACTTGTTGGCAAAGTGCGATACGGTTAGCGCACAAACACACCATGCAAAAGTGCAATTCATCACATAGACAGACTTTCTAAATACTTCACCCTTAAGTGTGATACAGTTAGCAAGTTAGAATCACTTTTGAATCATTTAGCTTGCAATTACTTACAAACCTAATTACCAAGATAGATTCTCCAGAGAAAACAGATCAATTTCATCTACTCTAATCAATTGACGATTTCATTTCATACCGAACAGTAGCACTTTAATTTTTTTGGTTTGCTTGTAATTGGTTCAACGGTAGGCCTACTTTTCTGCGTTTAAATTTTTACAGAGGGGTTCACAGATTTTAAGTGGGTAACACAAAAAAGGAAAATGATAACCTTTTTTTTTGCAAAATTGATGGAAGGTGGGGATCATAGGTCAATGTCCGTAAGCCACATCGGTACTGAGCAGACACATGAGAGTAAGAATATGGGGGATGGAAAGATGCGATGGTGGATGTATCGGGAAGTAGACCTCTCAGCCATGTTAGGGAGGTGGGAGCTCATAAATATGATGTGGATGTTTAATTTCATTGGCCACAAGTTCAGCCAGGTACTAAATTACTTCACATTGATAAAAAAAAAAAAAAACAAAAAAAAAAAAACTTTGCTGGTAATGTTTTTTTTTTTTTAATTTTTTTTTTTTTGGTGGGGGGAGGTATGGGGCAGGTCAAAGAAGGATATTTTGTTGCGTTTGCTGAGTTGGTGACTAATGCCATATTATATCGATTACCGGTATCGATTATTGTATCGATATTAGCCTTGTTATTCCGATCCTTTCAGACTGCTGCTACCAACAATTCAGCAAACGGTGTCGTGTAAAGGGGGAAGAGCTGTCCCCCACCCCCTCCGTCGGGGAGAAAAAGCACAATTCGTCGGGGAGAAGAAAAATTATATGTATTTTCTACATATTAGTAGACACTAAAATCGATTAAATAAGCCTTTGAAACCCCTAATTGTCAAACTTTTAGGGGGATTCGCCCCCAGGTCCACTTTCGAAGCCTTTAATCGAAGCTCGACCACACACACTTTGCTTTCGTCGGGGAAATCTGACCCCTCGTCGAGGCATCGGCGACCTGTCGGGGTCCTCTCCCCCCCCCCCCCAACCCCCGTCGGGCAAATCCTGGCGTCACCCCTGAAATGGAACAGACTTGGATTCGTCGGCCGAGGGACGTACGACCGTCGTCCAATCGCACCATACGACGCAAATGAGTGCCCGGCTTTAATACCATTGTTCGGCTCAGATGGTGGTCAAGGGTTCAAAAATCCCCATCTAAGATTAATGCCATGTATAAGTCGAAGATTGGAATGGAAAAGATGACAGGCAATTATTGTAATAAAGTAGTGGACACATAAACTTGTCACACTGTTTGTGTCTCATGAGCAAGACACTTTATCTGTGTTTGCCTCTGTTCACCCAGGAGTATAAATGGGTACCTGTAGGTGATTGATTCTGAATGAAATTAGTAGTGTTGATTACACGCATAACCGTAGGAATACTACCCAAGGAGTGGGGGAGGTTGCACGATGTGTATGATTGATAATGTATCTAATGACAGGGGAGCGCTTTGAGCAGTTTTCTGGATATGTGCGGTATATACATTCTATTAAATAAATTAATTAATTAAAAAATAAACTTAGTCTTTTTGTTTTGTACAAATGCTTCGGTCATTGATTTTATTGCTAGAGTTAAAACAATGGCGACCAACCCATTGTTCCATTCTTACGTAACGGCATTGCTGTCATTTTAAAAACAAAAGGCAGGTTGATTGTGTACACCAATCACTGACTAGCCATAACGGACCAGGTTTCCTGTGCAACGAGATCCGTTTCTTAAGGCACAAGACGGGGCTAGCTAACAAGTAATTATGGTATAAAATGTGTTTTAATGCCTTGAAATCCAGGATAAAACAGAAAATTATGCTTAATGAACACGAAACAACTTCCTCAGCTTGGATCCTGCTCCGATATGGTGAGATTTAACTAATAGATTTTCTTTAAAAACTTACAAGCCAATGTTCACCTGTCAGGCAAAGGTTTATTTGGGCCTTGCTACATGGGGCTGTGTCCGGTAGAGCAAGGAGGTATAAAAATAAGTAGAGGCCACTGGGCAAAGATCTTACAATTTGGCGTTTTCGACCATTGAAAGCTTTTTATGAAGCCAGTAGTATAATAAATTTACACTGAAAGGCTTCATATCTCGTCCAGATGCTGCACAGGCTTTGACGAGTACTAAAGTAGAAGTACAGGGTTTTCATGGAGTCATGGTCGCATCAGGGGCTGGCAAGTAAAATAAAGTTCTGGATGGACAAATTAATAATTTTAGTCCGTGGCGTCCGTGGCGTCGGACGACGGGGGTGGGGGGCCTCAGCTGGCGCCAACATTGATTGAGTCATGGTCGCATAGAACCGAGTTTAAATAACATAGAACAACGTTACTCCGAATAAAGAGAGGGAGGCCATGATTCAGTGTTTCGACTTTTATAGGATCATTTTTTTCATCCGGAGTAACGGTTATATAAACATAAGCCTAACCATTAGGCCTACATCTGTTGGTTTTTGAACCGAGTTTTTTTTAGGTAAAACACAGCAGCGACTGTGTTGCACAGTCTTCTAAATAGCATTGATTAACTGCGAACGCTTACATAGCCGAATACACCAGGAGGGGACGACATTTATTATCTGTCAGTGGCCCACCCAAGTTGTACATTGGAGTGATGTGTAGGTTATTGAGAACTATTATTTTATTGTTTATAAACTTAGTAAGTAAACTGAGCTGCTGATTTCTCTACCATCGACAGATGGTAAAGCAGGGCTCTGGGGGAATCATGGACTAGTCAGCTTACATTTCATTTAGATTTTCATTTCTGTTTTGCAATTAAAACAAAATCCACGATTTATACATGTCGAAGTAATATAATCGCGCGCGTGGGCATGGTGGTTGTCACGTGGTTGTTAGGACAAATCAGATGTTTTTAAACTAATGTCCATAATTACCATTTAAACCTGACTGGTAGCTGACAATTATTATGTAGACGCGTTAATACAATAATATGCAGAAAGCGGACCAGATCCCAATAGTCATAACAAATTTGATAGTATGCATTAATTATTGATATTTAAGGAGACATAAATTAAGTGAGTATACTATGATTACATAGTACCAGTCTTACTAGACAGGATTGTCAAAAAGTCAAGTAATGGGCCTTTCCAATGTATGTATGTATGTATGTATCTATCAAGTTAAAAAAAACTGACCAATAAAAACAGGGACAGGCATACGCGCTTGTCCCACAAACACACATGTTGTCCTACATACGCACGCGTATACGTTTACGCTGTCGCTTTGTAAGACTGAGCAACAGTAACCAAGGGATTTGTCTTAACTGCCCATTACGTCAGATGTTAAGCTCCATGGTTTCCATACAATCGCTACACTGTCGCTAAAGTGTTTTCAGTGCAATCGTCGTGATGCGTAGCAGGCCCCCCCCCCCAAATAAAATCACCAAAAACTGTCGGCGATAGCGTGGAGCGATTGTATGGAAACCAAGCGTTACCGTAGTTATTGGTATTATATGCTTTTCTTTACAATAAATACAATACAATATAACATGACACAATACAAAATGAAGGCTTAAAATGACATATTTTAGGGAATTAGGCCTAGTAGAGAATGTCAGAGAAAGCATTCTCCAGATTTGATTGACAACATCATCTGATGTGTCTAATAGAAGATTAATTGTTCCGGATATTGCTATTTCGTCATAATAATGACGACAATGTAGATGATTATGATTTTAGAATAGTAAAATAGAGGGTGATAATGACGAATTATGACACAATCATGTTTTATAGTGCTAATGACCATCCCATTGTAAAAACACACACACGTCTACGCTGAAAATATAAGATGAACGTTGTTTAATAAAGTGCTAAGAAAACCACTATATAAAAAGCTTTTTTATGGAGTGTCCATCGACACAGACGGATGCAATATTTTAGTGCTAAATAAATGACGCGAGACTAATGGTGATTGTGAAAGCGATCTTTACTGTATATACAACCAAACATCGAGTACGGTAATCAAAGACACATTAGTGACAAATAGCTTTTGCAAGATTTATCGTGATATGCTTAGGTAGAGGGCGTGTGCGAAAAGGGCAGAGATTTGGGAATCATTGGCACATCCCAGGGAGGGGTTTCACAGATGGAGTGTCTAGATCACCTCAGGCACCATGGGTGGGGCTGAGGCAACACAAAGTATAATTATGACACCTCTAGATGACCGGAAATGGCACTCGCACCTAAATTTATATATATTTCGGTATCTTTCATTCAATAAATGTACATAAAATAGTTTATAGCAGTAAAAACTGAATTTCAACCTGAGTAGTTCGAACATGTAGGAAAAGAATCCTCAATGATTAAAATTTAAAATAATTTCCTTTTTTTTTCTCCAAAAAAAAAAAAAATGCTTTTTTTAAACTTTTATTTAGGGAGGTGAATGGTGAATTGAATATCCATAAAATGGTTTAAATTATATTTATGATAAATGAGTAGACGTTTTGGTAAACATATATATACCGGAAACATGCCTGAAACCAAGTAAAAGGCATTTACCGACACTTCGGATTGTCAATCAATCATATAAACATAAGAAAAAAAGAATCTAAAAAATATATAGAATTACAGTGTTATACTTAATTTATTGAAATATTATGCAAAGCGGTTTGAATTAAACTAAATGTAAGATACAAGATCTGAAAGTATATATGGACGCCTAAATTACGTCTATAGCGCAAAGTAAAAGACTAGGATGATGTACCTAGAATCATTTCATGGACCATTTGACAAAACCAATTCAGCGAAACGGTTCATGTTTGACTATAAAACATCACCATGTCCGTCTCATTTGAATGTCTAGAGTAATCGAACATTCAGAAACATAAAAAAAACAGAAAGTGGATAAGAAAAACTACACAAAATAAGTGAAAAAACCCACAAACACAAAACAGCAACTATCTATTTGACCAAAGCAACAGAAAAAACAAATTTACAGTCTAATAGTAAATTAAATCAGCCAGGAGTATTAACAGGTATTACAAATTCTTCCCTGTGAAATAACTATTTAAAATAGCAATAATATTAATAACTATGCTAACATGTATACATTTTTATAACTTGAAAATAACAATTAAAAATAATAGAATTGAATTGACATTTATTAGGTACTCCAATACACAAGAACAACAACAACAACAGAGAGAAAGTTACAAAAAGCTAAAATCAAAAACGATTAGTAAATACATACACTGAAACCTATAATAAACCATAGTGAATGAAACACTGGGAGAGCCCATAGCAAGTGCTGGCTCATGTTTAATTGAATCCATTATAAATGGGATTTATGGTACAAAATAATTCCTTTTGTAAGAGAACTCTTTTACAATGACTCTATATTATGATAACATAATTTTTGAAAAAATATATATTCATTAACATAATCTTAACTTATTAAGATATTATTATTCTGTTTCATTTCATTTATTTGCTCCAAAGTACAATGAAATTGACAAATATTATAATGACAGAAAGAGGAAAAAATAAATCCATTGGTCGGACAGGATTGCCAAAAAGTGAACTAAATCACTGTCTAGTGGCTCTCCGATGCCAATGAGAACATTATTTTTATTATATATATATATATATATATATAATGCTTGCATGAAATTCTCACTTTATACCATCTAGCTTTTTCTACCCTCACTCACTCGCCACTGAGGAAGGACTAGTGTTGTCCGAAAGCTCTGGTTCTATTTCTGGCTGTTTACTTACGTTTACTTTTTAGCTGTTGCTTATCATTTTTGTATCTCTACTGAGA